AAAAAAAAAAAAAAACAACAATATCAATGAAATCAATAGGAACTTCCGTTCCAACTCACTTGTTGAATGCAAATCGCGTCTTTCGTTCTCCAAATTACGCAACGACGAAAAATCAACGTGACCCGTGTACAACGATCGAAAAAGTTCGAGACATCGATTACAACAAAGATTGCAAACGTACCACTTAGAAAATTCTCCGCTCCTCTCGTCGTGTCTACGGTTCATCGTAAAAAATGCCTAAACGACGTGATCCACGCGAAACGACGCCGAGGTGAAAACACGAAATCCCTGTATGAAAAATACGGCCTCGAGTTTTCCAAGCGTGGCGCGCGTACGAATCGACGGAATCGTCGTTCACGTGAACGCGACCGTCTCTAAAATCGCGATCTCACGATCTTGTGCTGCTCGTTTCACGTATTTTCCGAATTTTCCATCAGGCGAAAGCTCCCTCCTTTCTTCGCCATTTTTTCTTTTTGGTTTCTGTTTCGCCTTCCTTTCATTCATCCCCTCGACCATGAAGATTTTTCTGGACTCTCTTTGAGAAATTCCTTTCTCTACGCGCGATCGTCCGCGATCCCTCGAAAATTCAAACGATCAGGCCCATTACTAAGTACGCGGTTTCTCTAGGTTTTATTTTTTAAACTTGTTGAAAATATTTCGCTTTCTCTTATAGAATCAGCTCCGTTTTTTCCGTCTGCGCGCTCCTCGCTGCCGCCCCGGCACCCACCGGCAACCGGAAGTTCCGGTGCGCGCTCGAGGTGCGATCAGGTAGGTACATGTTTGCAATTCCACTACGATAGTCGATAATATTATCATATAATATATATGTATATATAATATATTTCGTTAAGCCTCAACAATTCCCATAATAAGTCTATGTTAGTCCGCTTGGTTTAGGAGTTTCGTCGATTTCGTTCCTCGACCTCATTCTTCCTCGCGATCGCCTGTTGATCTTAAGTACGTAATTATTTGCTTACACTTTTATCTAGATTTTATGCAAAAATAGAGTTCTGTGAATCCGTAGTCGAGGGTTCTTAACAGGCTGTGATTTGAGAAATATAAAAATATGTAACAGCTACTCTTCTTGGTAATTCAAAGTTTGAAGTTCGAAGTAAAATTCAAAGTGGAAAATTTAGAAATGTAGGTTCGAAAAATTTGAAACGATAGCTTGTTGTCAGCTTGAAATTACATCTTCCAGATAGTGTGTATTTAAAAGACAGTTTCAAACCGATTGTCATCACGGTATCACTAAATAATCCATTCGAGGAATCGGATCGACGAAAATCCTGACCCGGCAACACCGTTCAGGATATTCGAAAACGCGTTTCAGCGGATCATCGTGTCTCGCGTGATCTCACTGTCTCGTACCTCTTGACATTTTCCGTGATCATGTCCGTTTCGTGTTCGTGAGACGAACATCACACGCAACACCAACGTCATGAGGCGTTAGCACAAGTTAGTCACTCAGGATCCCACGATCGGTATTCATGCGCTCGATGAATCTCCACTCTTGCCCTGATAGAGTTCCCTATTGTATCTCGTTACAATTATAAGAGTATCATAATTAGTATACACGAAACAATCCCTAATAGTTTGGCACAGACAATCTCTCTTCTCTCTTTTAACGTTATCTTTACACTGAAAGTATCTCTCCTCGCACGATCTCTCAGAAATCATATCTTCTTTGTACTACTTTATATTTCATCTTTCGATCGTTCACAGTTTTGTTCTTCGTCTCTGGTTCAAATCGATAATTTTCGATTTGTTCTTGTCCTCAGGCAACGGCATCTTCGGCTCGGTAAAGAGCTGGAAAGTCTAGAAGAACTAGAAACATCCGGTACCGTTAGCCTGAAAGCTGGTTAGCAACAAGGGCAACCACGACGGTATGGACGATCGCGTAATTATCATCTCATTGACTCGCTAATCGAGCTTTATTCGCCTCTTAACATCTCCCCTGTTCTTCTTCTCTCTTTGTTTCTCGTTTTATTTCTCGTGTTTTCTTCTTGGAAAATTCCCACCACCAAGGCCAGGTTCGATTAGCACCTGACTAAGAGCTCGACACACGTTGAATCGGGAGCGTTCGATGAAGATGAAGAGCCAAGCTCGTCCTTCGCCTTTCTCTTCGTGACGATTTTGTTACCGATTGTGTTCGTTGATCGACAAGCTTGACGATCTATCTCCTCGTTCCGTCACGAAACTGCTCTTCAGCTTCAACCGACGGTTCAACGTCGACGACGCTCGAAATGTGTCGAGCTCTTGTCACGTTGGGCTACGGTGGTTCCGGCTCGGAGGTGGGAGATTCCTGCTACGCCTCCAGGAATATCAGAGCCGTTGGTTTCGGCTCCAGGTTGCTCTTCTTCGCCTCGACTACCAGGAACTCGATCTCGTTGCGGTCTCGCCTTGCGAACGACTCTGCGATCAGTCTTGCTACTTCTTGATGATGCAGACCTGTGAACAAAATTAATTGAGTGTAATCATTTGTTGAGAATTTTTGTATATTTGTATTTGCATTAGCGGAGATTTGAAATTACCTTCGACTTTGTGGCCATCGACTTCCAGAATCAGCTGACCGACCTCGAGGCCACCGGCCTCGTACGCCGCTCCATTATCCTGTAAATGCGTTAATTGATTAGCGTTCCGAGTATAGGGTAATATGTTTGCTTAACGCTAGAGCTACGAGTAATTACTGTGCTACACCGATGTCCGAAAGATTAACGATAAATGTTAAACAAATCATGAAATAGGTACAAAAATTATCTTACAATGATCCTGCTAACTTTTTGAGCAAATCCATAATTTTATGAATATAACTGGAGATCTTCGTAAAGATTCGTTTCATCTATTAAATATCACAATTTTTTATGCGTACAAACGTCTGCAATATTTCCATTTATTTTTTAATAATTGAAATACTCTTAATTGAAATAATAATTCCTATAAAGATATGTCCAATAAAAATATAGTCTAATTTATGATATTTAAATACTTTACTGAATTAAACATATTTCACAAACACAATTCCATCGCGGAACAGATTTTATTTTTAAATAAAATCAATGCTTGTTCCTCTGTGAACAAAAATTGTCTCACATGTATATTGATGATCCTGGGCAATGGGTGTTTGGTATTAGCACCACCCTCGATGGCAATGCCCAAAATCGATTTGGTCTTCTTGACGGTGATCCTCAGGTTACCCTGATGATCAGGGACCACCAGGGCACTGTCTTCTTCCCTCCTCTCCGACATTTCGCTTCTGGCCAACCTTTGAGCACTGTGATGTCTTCGTGGCGCACCACCGGCACTCCCAGCCCCGGCAGTAGCTGCACCAGAACCACCCTCTTCGAGGAGCTGAGCTTCTTGCATGTCGAAGCTCCGCGAGAGTTTGTGCGCGAGTTCCTGAAACGGGCACAGCTACGTTTCATCGGCGGAGTTTGAGCACCCATCCGGTTTCCGGTTGACTTTGCAACTCCGTGACAGTACACCGTTAGAAAGACTTACATTCCTTTCTGGAAGTCTCTTTTAAAATTCAGTTGAAATCTCGTCCTTTTAGTTTGTTCGATTCTTTCTCTCAAAGTTACTCGAATATTTCATTCTAGAAATTTCGATTATCTCGAACTGTTTATTATTTAAAATTCACGCTTCGAAAATTTAAATTCTGTATTATAATTCGGTAATTTTGATTTGAACCTTCTATTGTCTGCAAAGCCTTGAAAGCCTCAATCTGAAAATTTTTATCTTCTCATGATATAACGAAAGTATTACGCTTCATTTTTTTAACTATTTCATTTCCTTTTCAGAAGGAATTTGATTCTGCGGATACAGTCACTGTCACGCAGCTCGTCAAAGCCACCTCGAATACGCTCGATGACAGCACACAAGAGCTAAAGAGGCTGATGCTGACAACTTGGTGTACACGCTGTAGTCGAAGAGAATCCTGGTAGTCTGTAAAGTTGGTTACGCGAGGAAATTCGAGAAAGCCTGTTTTGTATGTTCAAATATTCGTTGTGTAATCGTACAAAGTGTTAAGACAATTCATTTCGACTAAATTATCCTA